TGTACAAATATGCTTGATACACTCAATGTATGGAACATTATAAAAGTTGTAAGAGTCCCCAATAAAATGATTTTTTTTAAGGTAGTTCAAAGTTTTTGGTTACACCGCATTTCTTCAAAACGATGCTGTAGTAGGAGGGATAAATACCATCCTCATTTGATAGATGAACAAACTGAAACGTAAATTAATCCTTAGTTTTCTTCCCTTGCAGCAATGTGGCATAAATGCCAACGATGTCAAAAAGCTGGAAGAAGCTGGATTCCATACTGTTGAGGCTGTTGCTTATGCACCAAAGAAAGAGCTAATAAATATTAAAGGGATTAGTGAAGCCAAAGCTGATAAAATTCTGGTACGTACAGCTTATGTGTTGGGAGGTGTTAGTAGGAAGGAAATTCCTCATTCTCTTGCCTTCTTCCTCTTTCTAGAGCAACCAGAGTTACTAGTTTGTCTTTCTATGTACCTCTTTGCATGAATTCAAATGTTCTCTACAGAATTACAGTATCATTGAGTAGAGCAAAGTCATTGCCAAATTGTTGATCAGTTTACGCTCCTACACACTCCTACCAGCAGTTGAGTGATATATACATTATCTTTCTAGGTGTTAAGATCTCATACGTTATAAATATACTTATTATGCAACCACCAAAAAAATTTTTACATAGGAAAATGTTCCTGTTATAGGAAGCAGATTAACTGGTTTATAACTGGTTTTATCTGTGTGTGTCTTTGTGCACATATGTATGTGACATTTTATTGGGGAAATCTACAAAAGATCACTTTAAAGCTTTGTGAAGAAGCAACGATGTCACCTTGAGGATGGAGATTTGCCTGACCCAAGACCTGGTATTTTTTGTTTAAGTAGAATGCTTTTAATATATGAATCAGTTATTCAACATCATATGGAGTGTGCTTTTACATTATTGAACAGGATTATATTGGCATTAGTTTTTCTCTGCCTTCAATTAAGACAATACCTTGAAGATGACAGCAAATAATAAAATTAAATTAAAATACACCCATTTTTAAAAAGAGTTGGGATAAAACTTATCCACTAGTGCCCCTTATTCAGCATTTCAGATCACCCATCATCCCTTGTATATGACTTCAAGGCCCATCTTTCCTACTTGCAAACAATATATCTAACCAATAAACCCAAACACTGCCCTGTGATCATTTCCTTATAACAACCTTCATAGATGCTATATATAACCAATAGCACCTATCAAAATGACCCTCAAGGTTATTCAGCACTAAGTAAGGACCTTGGTGTTTTTAAGCACCTCATACACATACAAAAGCGGGACAATGAATGAGGAAAACTGAAAAAATTACTGTATTTGAATATGGTGTTGGTGAAGAATATTGACTGTACCATGGACTGCCAGAATAATGATCAAATCTGTCTTGCAAGAATTAAAGCCTGAATGTTCCATAGAAATGGGGATGGAAAGACTTTATTTTATATACTTTGGACTTGTTATCAAGAAGGACCATTCTCCAGAGAAGGACATTGAGTTTGGTAGAGATACAGTGAACCAAGGACATCGAGTTTGGTAGAGATACAGTGAAAACCAATGAGATGAATGAACACAGTGACGCTAACAATGGACTCAAACAAAGTAACGACAGGAGGATGTGTTAGACCTGGCAGTGTTCAGTCTTGGCTGTGGACTCACTTCTGAATCAGAACCCATTTGATGAGAACCTAAGAACACAACAACTTAGAAGGGTGTCAGAAAGTTCATAAGGAAACTCCATTATTTTTCGGTTCCATTATTCCATGAGGTTTTGTTTTGTTTTTTAAGCCTTCCTCTGCAAGGTGGGTGTACACATCTACACAAGGATAATTCAAAAAGTATTGCTACAGGGATTATAGTTTAACATACAAAATGCATCTGCAGTCAGAGGATGGCTACCTACAAGCTCTCTCTAATACACGTGACATAGTCTTGTTAGAGTGCATTCCAAAAAATACTTACTGTGTCATGGGGGGGAAAGTAAACCAATTTTGTAGTCAGGGCTAATAACAAATTTTTAGCAAAACTCAAATGGATATCTTCCCAAATCCTTGAAGCTTTGCACCACGTTTCTGAGAAGGTTGGCCTACATAAAACAATAGTTTTTATATAGACCTGTTTTAGAAAAATCAGTAAGCCTCAGAGATGAGCCAAGAGAAGGGACAACAGCAACCTTGACAAATGAAGAAAATGGCTGAATTCCAGAAACTGATGGAAGGAGACTAGAGTTAAATTCATTGATGCAATAGCTACTGAAGTTGGGAGCTCACATTGCACGGCATTCTCTTTTGCAAGTGAACATTTTGACTTCAGCAATCTTTTGTTCTGAATGAATACCAAAATCAATGTGCAATAATTAGATCAACGAATCTTTTCATCACTCTGTTAAACAAGATTAAAGCTAATGAAGACAATTTTACGTAATGAATTCTAACTAAGACAAGTCTAGGGCTTACCAATACCATCTAGAAAGCAAGATCCAATTAGAACAATGGCTTCCAAGTATATCAGCTAAGCCAGTTTAAGGCAGAGAGGTTACAATGTTATGTTGACGGTGATTTGAGGTTCCAAAAGTGTAATTTTTGATACAGTTTCTCAAAGAACACAGGACAATCAAAGAGGCTTATTAGGAAGGAGTTTTAAGAAAATTGCATTGATGAGGAAAAGGCCAGAAAAGTTGCACCAAGGAAATTTTTTCCTCATTACAATAATGCCCCTGCTAGTTCTTCAAAGGTAACAAAGGGCTATCCTATGAATTTTTGTTGGGAAACCTACCTCATCTACACCCAAAAAAACGGTCCCCGATTCAAAGAA